GTTTCTCACATCCCTGAGTTTTTTGGATCTGTAGATAAGTGTTTATCATCAAATTTGAAGGACTGAGACCATTATTTCTTTGAATTATTTTATGCCATTTTCTTTATCCTCTTCTACTGGCATTCTAATTACTTGTTTTTTAGACTGCTTCAAATTGCCCTACAGATTACTAAGGCTTTGCTCACTTTTCTTAAATCTTTTTTCTCTTTATTCTTCAGATTTGGTCATGTTTATTGATCCAGATTCAGATTGTCACTAACCCTTTCTTCTGCAGTCTCTGCAAAGTAGTGAAATTTTCATTTTCTATGTTGTGCCTTTTACTTCTAAAATTTCCTCTTGGTTCTTTTTTATAGTCCCATTTCTCATTAGGACCATCTTTAAGTCTTTGAATGTGTTCTCATTAGCTGCTCAAAGTTTTCGTCTGCAACATCTACTGTCAACATCCAATGTCAACATCAACATCAATTTGGAGTCTGTTTTTATTGACGGCTTTTTCTCAATCATGGATCACATTTTTCTGTTTCTTTGCATGTCCGACTTTTTATTGTATAGACATCATGAACGATGTCGTAGAGTTTGGATTATGCATTTTGGTTTTGAACTTGGTCCTAAGGTGTCGCCCTTACTCTACGGCACAGTCCTTACTCCCCGGGCACAGTCTTCCTAGGTCTCACCTGAATGACCAAGGTGTTCAGCAAGCAAGGTTTCTCTCTTCAGGCCAAATCGGAAGTCCAACACCTCCTGTGAAGTACAACTCCTAGTGTCCCCATTCTTCTCCCAGCTCCAGAGCAGGCAATCTCTCCTAGGCCTTGTGGAGTCTTGTCTTGGACAATCACAGCCTAGTCCTTGGTTTGGGATTCACACAATGAATCCCCACAGAAATTTCTGTCTCAGTATCCTGCACGGCTCCCTTCTTCTCTGGTTCTCTGTTCTGTAAACTTCAGCTACTTCAGCAGCCCAGAACCCCAGTCAATCTCTGCTTCCTCATCTCCTCTCTTAAGGTCACCACTCAGCTTGAGCTCCACCTTCCTGTGCGGCAGCAGGCAGGAAGCAGGGTCATCGTGAGATTTGCCTAGTATGCTTCCCGTGTCTCAAGGTCACGGTCATGTGCTGCCCATTATTCAATGCCTCAAAATAGTAGACTTATATATTCTGTTCTTTTTTTCTAGTATTTTTCAGCACAAGGACAAGCTGAATGCCTGTTTCTATATAATGGCCAGAAGTAGAAGTCAAGCAGGTGCCATGACGATTATGGTTTTAAAACAGGGGCTCCCAACTGCGGTTGCACAATGGAATCCCCTGAGAATTTTTTTTTTTCAATACTAGAGCCCCAGAGTATATTTTTATATGCTCTCCAAGACCTGAAGGTACAGCCAAGGTTCAGAAGCAGTCCAAAGTATAGCACAGTGTTTCCACTCTGGCTTCTCACCTTAAATTGTAGTCTTCTTGTTCTTATTTGAGACGAAGTAGTACCCTCCATCACTCCGGCCTCCTTTAATCAGCCCATGAAAAGGGTTTGGATAGCTGCTTTAATGGCATGAGGACAGCTAGGGTGCTGTCTTCTGTAACAGGACTTGCTCCGTCAGCTGTTTCTGGGACTCGTGCCTCCCGGTCCACAGACTTGATTAATAATTTACAGTCATCGTGAGTATTACTCTGTTTTTGAAGGTCACTTTGTTAAACTATACCATAACCACGTGTTCTAACACAATATCAACTTGCGATTGCTGGGTGCACTGGAGATTCTTTAGACCTGAGACTGCTCCAATAGAACCAAGACAGCACACTGAGTTCGTATACCAGAAAGCCCGTGACTATCTTTACTACTGAATGGTATTCAAGCAATCAGCCAGGCCAACATCCACTATTCAAGTCAGTAGTCGTGGGAGGAGGGGAGACCAGAGGATGGGAGAGCGTGGAGAATGAGAGCATCTTCAGAAATATCCCTAGAGTGGAGGTCACCACGTTTTTATCTTGCATCCCTATTAGTGGGTTTCCTGAAATAATGTTTTGTTTTATTTATCAATGGTTCCAAAGATTTTGTTATCCTCATTAAGAATATTAATATTATATATAATGCTAATAATTTTTAGAGAACAATGTGATTTAAATGCATAATTTTTAACAATATTGATTTAATACTTTATGATAGGCCAAGTTGAAAGTCTAGTGTTAATTTCCTTTTATTTTATTACTTGGTTTTGATGGGTGCCTTTAACCAAAAAATGTATCTCTGAAAAAGATGAATAAAGCCAAACGGAAGAAATATCATTAACTGTGTTTGTTAAATTACAATACTCACTTATCGATCTCATTCGCCAATTACACAAAAGGTTTTGTTGAAAATTAACCAGCAAATTTTAGTCCTCTCAGATATCCACCAGTTGTTCTTGCAAACTAATCAGAGGGTGTTCCATTTTTATAATTTTAGTAAGTGGTTTGAAAGCCTGGAATTTAATTTAGCACATTTTAAGCTGGTTAGAAAACACTGTTTCCAACTTTTGAAGTGGGAAAATATAAAAATTTAAAAATGACACACATCATTTTCAGTAACTAAATCACATAATGATAGAAACAGATCCAGACATCCATTCGAAAATGCTCTATCTAAAGATCAGATCAGATTACACACACACACATACACACACACACACACACACATATATACACACGCGATCTTCTTCTTTTCCTTTTTTTTTTTTTTTTGGTTTTCAAAAATAGCCACCAAGCATTATATCTCTGATGGGAGGAGGGTAGCACCCAGGGGGTGGGATAAGTGTCTGAAAAATGAAAGCGTCTTCGGAATGTCAGAAAACATTAGCAAATTTGTAAGACTGTCTTTTCACATAAGAAAATTATATAACTCATCTTTAAGTTCAGTAACTCTTTTGAAAGGCTTTGCTGTGAAAACTAGTGAACACTTATTTGGTACAAAAGCTTTCACAGCCATTTCCTATCTCATTAAAAATCATGGCAGATTGCCCCAGTTTAGATACTTTTTGCTTATATGTCTTTATTGAAGTATAACTGACATACGATAAACAGCACATACTTAAGGTGTGCACTTGATAAGTTTAGACATATGTATACACACGTGAACTCACCACATTCAAAATAATGAGCATATCTAGCACTCCTAAGTTTTTCCACGCCCCTTTGTAACCCACACACACCCTCCTCCCTCCCAAGGCAACCACTGATCTTCTGTCACTGTAGATGTGTTTGCATTGTCTAAAATTATATTGAAATTGAATTGTACAGTCATCCCTTGGTGTCTGCGGGGATTGATTGGTCACAGGACCCCCTGCGGATATTACCATCTGCAGATGCTCAAGTCCCTTATGTAAAATGACATTGTTTTTGCATACGATCTACATTTGCTTATAGGGCGCTGCAGGCTGAGCCTACACATCACTCCATTCGAAAGGATTCAGTGCAGGGCTGAGCACCAGTAAACTCAAGCTTTCCTCTTTGGAACTCTCCGGGGCTCTTTTCTCCAAATGTTTGTTTGTTTCTTTGTTTTTACTTTTTTTTTCCCCCCAAATAATTTTGGTGCCTAGTTGGTTGAATCTGCAGATGTGAAACCTGCTGATACAGAGAGCTGATTGTATACTCTTTCTTTGTGAGGCTTCTTTTACTCAGTGTAATTATTTTGGGTCACACCCAGTTTGGTGCATGTACAATAATTCACCCTGTTACTGGCGTGTAGTCTTCCACGACACAGCTGCACCGTAGTGTGCTCATCTGTCCTCCAGCTGACAGACCGCCGCCTCACGGTCCAGTCCTTCCTGGAGACAGGAGTTTCTTATTCCTGTTAAATGAGTCAGTCAAGATGGAAATGGTAACTTACTGCCTCTAAGGCGTGGGGGGAGCCCACATGTGGAGCGGGGACAGGCCAACACTTGGGGCTGCTGTCGAGGGAGGCATCGTTTTCCTCCGGGCTTTCCATGTGGGGAAGGACAGAAGGGGACCGAGCAGCCTGGAGGGTCCTGAGTGAAGAAGGTTTCCTGGGAACACATTTTTGTGTTTGTCACTGATCCCCAAACTCGGGTGTCAATTCCTCTGGTCCGCTGTGAAGCTCAGCTATTATTTCTACTAAAACATCTTTATAGACTACAGGAGGAAAAAGTGTGCGTGTGCGTGTGTGTGTGTGTGTGTGTGTGATAAACATGTGAGATCTTGTTTTATAAGATTCTTATCAGGAAATGGCTGGCAAAGTTCACAAGAAAATACCCTCACTGGGCTTTGTATGACCTGTCATGCAATAACTACTGGGCCTCGCATAATGAGCCCGGGATCACTTCCATAATTCAAATAGGTAATTCCATGCAGCTGTTTAATGATTGGCCACAATAAAAGTGTGCTGACAGCGCTGGGGCTATTTCTGGCAGTCCTCCAGACTCTCACCCTGGGTCACCTAGTTACCACGCCCACACGTTTCCTAAGGGCAAAATTAGAAGCCGGTGGTCTCTGCATTTGTTTTAACCTCTCTGCTCTAAGATGAATGTTGATATGTTAGTCTGGTGGGCAAGCTGTGGAACTTCTCCTTTGCCTGGGCACTAGCACAGCTTCTGTGCCACGTGCAGTCTCCCAACCCAGACCTCCTGGCCATTCTCTGCCCTGGGGATGGGCAGGGAGGCGGGAGGAAGGAAGGGAAGGGGGAGGGGCCTGGAATGACCCTGAACGCACAGGGAAGCGTGCTCTACCGGGTTTCTGACTTTGGACCAAGAATTGAATGGAAAAAGAATGTTAAGGCGAACTAACTATATATTTCAGAGCTCTATTGATCAAAGACAATGGTACAGCCCGCCCCATTTAAACATTGACGCCACCTGCCTGTGTGCACGGATTGTGTCTCTGAAACATCTAAGGAGAGCTTCTCAGTCTGAGACCACCTTCCAGTTTCTGTAAAACCACCAGGATGCGGCCTGGATGACCTCGCAAAATTCCTCCCTACACTATCATTCCGCGACCTGACGGGAAGAGACGCAGAGAAACCAGAAATAATTCTGCATGGACATTCTCTTTGAACTCGTTTCTCAACGTGGGTTCGATTTCTGTCTTTAAATCCAAATACAGAATATGTCATCACACTTTCTTCCCCGCTTCATAAATGCAGTGCTACCTCCTGAATCTCCCGCAGCAGCTGACTGAGGGCCATGGGCTGTCTCATTCCCCTGTCTACCCCTAGAAGCCAGCCCAGCACCCGGCCCCAGGTGGGAACTCACTCAGAGGTGATCCAATGAGTGACTGGACAAATTCACTCGAGGGATGGATGGACGAGGTCTGATGCCAGGATCAGGAGTTGGAGTAACTTCAGGAGACAGCGTAGACCCCTGGGAGGCAGGAAGAGAAGCTGCTTGAATCAAGTGAAAAATCACAGAGTCTTGCAGAGGGACTGAGCTGCAAGGTTATCGCAATTACAAAGGGGTCTGCCATGGGCAGGGGTCCTTTGTGGGCAGGGTCCCCTCTAAAGCTCCTGGTTTTTTATGCAATGGCCTAAAAGTCTGAGTGATCTCCTCTGTGCCTTCACCTTTCAGCTCCCAGGTGAATTACCCTGCAGGACGTAAGCTCCACCAGGGCAGGCGTCTTTGTGTGTTTCGAGTAGCTACTATGCATTATCTATATACCTGTTATGAATACCGATGTAGTTCCGGTGTCTAAAACAGTGCCTGCTGCATAATTGACACCCACTGCATATTTCTTGAATAAATGAATAAATTCAGAACGAGAAAGTTCACTCTTCGAGTCCAAGGTGAGAGCCATTACTTTCTGACCAACCCAATATTTTCTGTGGTGCGGAGTGGTTGCAAATTTTGAAAACACAAGGCTTTAGTGTGACAGCTGAATTAATGACTGCAAACAGCTCCACACAGAAACGCGGTGGGGCAGCGGGACCAGATGCCCGGGTGCCAGGCCAGCTTCACCCCTTAGGTGCTCTGAGCTCGTGGGCCTCAAGGTGCCTATGTCACCCACTGTGTGGGCTTAGTGACAGCACTTTCCTCACAGGGGTCTGATAAGTCAGTAGGTAAAAGCACTTAGAAAAGAGCCTGGTGCATCCTACTAAGCACTGCAGACGCCGTGTTCGGTGTCCGTATGAGCGTTTTTCTGGATCCCTTGGACTTTCGAACACTGTGTGCCATTATCCAGTGAAAGAAGAGTGTTGGATTCTTTTAGCAACATGGACCTGCAGGCTCCCAACACCCTGAGTAATCGTCCAAAGGGCTTCGCTCCTCCAGAGCCCCAAAGGGCAACAGGATGGCAGCTCCAATAACTTGCAAAAATGTTTGCAGTTACTACCCTTTCTACAGAGTCCAGCACTGTGAAGATGAATCAAACACATATATGGAATTATAATCCTGGCACCGTCTAAAGCTAAACCATGGCCAAGGGTCCTCCCGAGAAATCCTCGCTGAACAGGTGAATTTGGGGCAAACGTTTCATCTCCGTGAAGTGAGACAGTCTTCTCAGCCATTTCGAGCCTTCACCTCTCCAGGCAGAGATGCCCACAGGCTTGGGGTTTGAGTCCCTGTTGGGGGAACGAAAGTTCTATGCGTTCTGTAAAAGTCCATTTTTGGTCTAAGGCCCCTGCTCAGATAATGGTCCCATGGGGCAAGGATCGTGTCCTCCAGAACCATCTGTCCTCCATCTCATCCTGTGCAGTCACCGAATGGACTTTTTTGTCCCACCCAGGCCCGACCTTCCTACGCAGGAAGCGTAGCTTCGAATCGAGGGCTGCATTCACAGAGACACAGACGCAGAAGCACACCAGCCTTCCGTCACGGAGAGAGGGAGCGAGGGCGCTCAGTACTAAACCTGGGGTGGGGGGCGCAACTTGGTCTGATTTTAGCCCCAGTGACCGTCAGTAGTCACCAGACCTCTGAGTACATGGTTTGGTGTCCTACCTCTCCAAAAATGCTCAGCATCTTCTAAAAGAACAATGAAGGCAGTAGAAAAAGACATAAATAAACCTATAACGCTTATATAAGGCTGTATGAAAAGGTTTTCACCCAAGCATAAAGCTGGGAACTCTCTACACAACTTCTTTATTTAAATGCATTTTGACAGAACTACATAATGATGATATAGCTCTATATTTATTGAAAAGGAAACATGTTCACTATCGAATACATTTTTTTAAGAGTACTGAAGATGTGTGTATTGTACGATACCAGTTTTTAAAAATGAATGAGAATAAATCTCTCTATATATGTTTTTTTGACCTTAGGTATAAATATAAATATTATTTCTATGTATGTAGTACTTTATTAATCATTTTAGTGGTGTGTTGCCTATATGGATTTTTAAATTATTTTGCAATGAATATGTAACACTTTTAAAGAAAGAAAAAATTGTTAAACACCTAGAAACACACAGACATACACGCACGCGCACGCACACAAAATCTTACAAAGAGAGAAAGTCCAACCAAGGGAATCCATTTCTAATAGAGGAATTTCAAAACAGCACCCCTTCATTTTGAGGGGAGTTGTCTTCTCTGCCCTCTCCCCACCATGTCATTCCTCCCTCCCGTTCCCCACTCACACGGGTCAGGCCAGAGCCCCAGATGGCATCTCGGTGAGACACATCGCTGCCATGTCCCAGCCTGGAGTCCTAGGGTCACCTCTGCGGTCTGCGAGAGGGAGTTGGGACATTAGTCCATCACCTCTGTATTCAGCGGCCAGGCCGGCGCTTGGACTGCTAAGAGGTAACACCCTATAAAAAATAAACATGAAGGAGAAAGGAGAGATTCACTTGGATGACACTCAATACAGACGTGAGAAAGAGGCCAGGCTGTTCCCAGAAGGCCGGTGAGGAAGCCCGGACAAGCAGCCTCTGCCAGCACGTGAAGCTGACCTCAGCCTGCCGCGGCGTCATTGCGGAAGGGAGCTCTGGGGACGCGTGCCAGCTTCAATTAACAGCTGACTGTTCCATACTGAGACGGTTTCTCCTCCGTTAGTGGAACTTTCCATTAGACTTGCCGACAATATCTTATGTCAAATAAGTTAGAAATTGAGCTGAAAAGTCAAGACTGCAATGGGGCCATGCAGAAAGGAAGACCACATGGGACAGTAGAGGGCACAGGTTACTGTGATGTTACGTCCCCGGCATAAGCGATTACAAAAAAAACTCAGCAGCAAATGTTAAGGACCCTGAGGTAAGCTTTGAAACTCAGAATTCAAGGAAAGGAGGGCATTCTTGGCCCTTCTTCAATTGCTACACCTGAGAGGAAATCCAGCCGCCAAGAGGCACCCTTCCGGGAACATTTTCCAGGGCCCTCAATTCAAACAGCTGGATTTCTCCTTCCAGAACCATCCACTCAGCCTTTAGAAGTGAGGTCGGCCGCCGGATGGGAAATGTCCATTCGCATCATGGACAGAACTCAGTGTTCTGGGCCTCGTCTATTCTCCACGTAAACGGACTTTCCTGAGAATCGCGTGTTAGTATTTACGAGTGACTCAGGTGACAGCACATGCATTTCCGAGGTGAAAGCTTCCAAGTGCGCAGAGGAGGTTAAGCGGAATGAACCCTTTACAGCCGAACAACCTCGACCTCCACAGAGCTCCATGTCAAATAACGAAGAAGGCTGCACGAAAGCGTCACTGAATTTTCTTGGAAACATCTGAAGTCCGTAAGAAGACGCTCGGGCATGGGAAGAGGAAGCGCCACCATAGATGACAGAGTAATCACAACTTAATGGCTCGCATATGAGAGGGTCACTCAGTCAGCAAGATGTTTGCACAGGGACATGAGGCACCTGCGCGGTTTCCTGAACTCGGCCCCAAGTGGAGAAAGTGACACAGAACGGCAGGCCCCGGCATTTATAACAACTTCCAGTAGTTTAAGAGAAGAAAAAGTTTTGCCTCGGAAAACCCTGATCTTGGGGTCCACGTCTTTGGACGCCCAGGCTTCCTAAGTGGGTCCCAGCGGGAGATGGTCAGCACACACAGACTGACCTACCGCTACCTGGAATATATTTGCACGTCTTTATTTTTTAAACCGATTAAACATGGCTTGGCCTTGCAGAAAGTCCAGGCTGAGCGATGCTCTGAGGCTCCTCAATCTGGGCGCCCCTGGGCTTGCTCAGGGGACTCCTGGCCTAAGCAAGGAGATCTGGAGGAAGGGCTGGTGGGTCATGCCCCATGGGGTCCTCACGAAGGTGGGGGGGCGCCCGTCTTCCTGGCCAGGCTTCAGTGTGAAGATTCGAGCCATGGCTTCTGGGCCAGGCTGGCTACCCTTCGAGGGCACGTGACTCAGATGCCCCATCCAAAACACTGCTGGTACACAGGGCACAGTTCTGGGCCCCCGTCACCAGCACCAGCACCACCCCCATGGTGGATACCCCGAAGTCCACAGGTGGCGGAAGGCGCACGCAGGCAGTGTCAGCCTCAGGAGTGTCCCCCCAACCAGAAGGGAACAGGACTCCACCTGGATTCCACGAACCAGATGCCCGAGGCCGGGTGCCGAGGCGTCTCGACCCCCACTCCGTCTGTTTGCTCGTAGTACTTGTCAGCACTTCTTAAACCTGGATTCCTATCTTCCATCGAAAAAGCGGGTGCTCTGACCATGCCAGGCCCACAGTCCCACACGCCCTCGCCGGCCGGGGCTGGCCGCGGAGGGGACACGTGTTCCCTGCGACTCCTTGCCACGGCGCGAGGGCCGCTTCGCAAACCTACATTATCCGCTTGTGAAAACTGAATTTTGCAATCTTTGGTCTCGGCCTGAGGACGGGAAAGGTTGGGCTGCCTTCCCGGGAATGGGAAAAGGAACGATGATCTTTTCATTCTTTCCGATTTCTCGAAGAACAAGACAAAACGTAATGTTTCCGCAGCTCATCCTGTCATTCACCTTCACAGGTAACTGCCCTGACGGCAAAGCTGACCGCCGGTGACCGCAGACTGTCTGACCCCACTTGGCCGACAGCATCCAAGCCACCCACGCGGTGAAGAACCCGTTCTGACACCTGTGAGAGGTAGGGCAGACTTCACCCGGGGCCGCCACAGGCGTAGGGCCCACTGCGCTGGGGTTTGCGGGAGGGCAAGAGAGTGGGCTCAGCTCCAGGTACGACAAAAAAAAAAGTGTGGACTTATGGCCAAGTTGCAGAGTGGGGGTCCGTGGATGAAAAATCAGTAAGAGGAAGCATCGGGGAAAGGGGGTTCCGGCTGAACCCGCTAACAGGGAGCTTGCGGAGGGAAGGCCAGCTGACCAGACACCAAGCACCCAGGGGCAGGGGGGTTGGGGGGGTCACATATGAGGGGATCAAATATCGAGGGGGTGGATTCTGGCTAGGCTGACTGAAGGTCACATGCGAGGACGGGCCTAGCTGAAGGGAGCTCGGAGGAGCCAGGGGAGAGTGTGGCCACGGAGAGAATGCTGTCACTCATCTCCCTCCTCACAGACAGCCCTCCCGCTGGAAGACTGGAAGGCCTGGCACCGCCGGCCCATCCACAAAACACCTGCCTTTTCTCTCACAATGCAAGGAGCTGTGACTGAAGGAGGAGGGGAAAGCAGGGCCCACCCCAAGCACAGCCGGAGTGGGGTCCGTAAAGGGCGGCACCAGGAGTGAGCGCGGGCGTCCACGGTCCATCCTCCCGGCGGGAAGAAGACGCCTCGCCTCAAAGTGACAGGGGACGGGAGGTCGGCATTGCCATTGTCCCCCAAGGGCCACGACGCGCACGGCAGGAACATCACAACATAGCCATCGACGATGTCATTGCACGCATGACAGGAAAACATTAGAATACATCAAATTAAAAATTTCCTGCGAAACCCCCCGATATCGATTACATTCCCTTAACCAGAATGACGCAGTCGGAGAAGGCACTAGGGAGTGAGTTTCTCGTCTACCTGATGAATTTACGGGAAGCTTCCCCCACCCCCCTCCCCCCACCCCGGAACCAGACACGCGGCCAGCACGGAGCTCCCGAGGCGCCTTTGGCCAGCCAGCCAATTGCGTGACTATGACCAGCGTCGCTCCTTTTAATGAACAATATGGAACCTTTCCCCGCGACCACAGACTTGCTCGCGAACCTTCATGGTGCCAGAGGCACAGGGAGGCTGGTGGGAGTCAGGAGCAGGGGCTGGGCTGGGGGCCGACCTTCCCCAGCCCCGGAGCGGGTGGAGGCATTGGGTGGAGTGACCTGAGGGACAGAGCAATGTTAACCAGCTTTCGCGAGGTACTTACTCGGGAGAGACTCTGTGTAAGGCCTGAGGTTAGCATTATCTCACTTAATCTTCTCCCAAATGAGGTGGGTGCTGTATCATCCCATTTCGCCGGGAGGGACCTGAAGAGTAAGCGAGTCCTATGACTTGCCCCAGGCTCCACTGGCAGTGAATGGAGGGCTGGGCGCTCCAGTCAGGTGATCATGCAGCCTGCAGTCTGGGAATGTGAACCCCCAAGGAAAGGACAAAAAGACCAGAAACTGGAAGCCAGAGAGAGAGAAGGAAAAGCCTGCAGTGTGGTCCCACAGCGCAGGAGCTCGAAGGGAGTGAGACCAGCCGCAGAGCTGCTGAGCCCTGGCTGGGGGTGGGGGCCTTGGGATCTGCATGAGGACGAGTGGACGGGGTGCTTCAGTGGAGCTTGAGGACAGAAGTCAAACTGTAGGGTGCTGAATTGGGTGATGAAGTGTAGGCAGGAGAGCTGACGCTTTTCCCAGAGCAGTGGAATAAAGACCAGCGTTCACAAGCCCCTTCACGGGTTTCCTCGTCAGGCCAAAGTAGAAAAGAATGGCAAGCCACCTGGAGCCCGGTCCAAGTCGCCTGCCCATCACAGGCAGCAGGCTCCTCCTGGCCTGGACCGTCCTGTCTCACGTCCGCCCCCTTCTCCTGAGCAGCAACTGTATGGCTAAAACAAACCTGACCACACATCCAAAGTCCCTTTCCTGCCTGCAGATGTGCTGGAAATGAATTTGAAAGTGTAATCTGGCCAGCCTTGTGTGGCAACCCCATGCACGGACGATCGATGTCCTGTGACCGTCACTGAGGTTCGCTGATGTGCCGCTAACTGCAGGAATTTACCTGAATTTCTAAGGGTACACATAGGCTCAGATTTTTTCCCGAGGAGTTAAAAGATGCCAGAAACTCAATAATCAGAAGTCGTGATAATGATAAATTATTGGAGAAGAGATTTTCGCTTTCTTCAATCCTCACAGCCTTCTCCTCAAAGAAGTCCAAAGAGCTGGAAATATATAGGAGACAAAAGAGGTAAAAAAAAAAAAAAAAATCTAGGGCAAACACAAAAAAAGTAGAAAACCTCACAGCAGCGTTCTTGAATGCTAAACTGAGCCCTCAAATACTTTGAACATGAATCCTAAAGTCTGTCTTTTCTCTTTCACTAAAAAGAGAATGTCTACAGTCTAACATTTTATAGAACGTGTGAAATAGATTTGAAATTGTAAATTCAAAACTATTTCACACCTGACCGAAATGATCAAAAATTTAGAGAAGTGAAAGTAACTAAAATAGGCTTCCCTCGTTCTTTTAAAAAAACATTTGCTGGTGTCTGCTTAGAACTCAGCGGGAGAAAAGAGGAAACACAGAGGGTGGGAGGGGCCTCTCTGATTAGCGGTCCCTGAGAACTGGGGGGGAGGGGAAGGAGGGACGGTCCCTCTCTGCCCCCATCCTGGGGACCTCGCCTCACCGCAGCCACGGTTTTTCCACCTGCAAAGGCCCTCTCCAAGTCCAAGTGCCCTTAGCAAGGCCAAACTCTCCAAGCTTTCCCAGGTTCGATGGCTGCTAAGTCTTTTTAGATGTTAATTTTATGATTCACACAATGGCTTTCAAAAGAAAGAGGCTTTTGAGCAATGAAAGAATCAATGGGGTTGTAAAGCCCTGGTAAGCTGATTCGGATCGTCTCTGGAAAGGTAGGAAGCATGCCGCAGAACTGGTTTATCCTGGAGCTGAAACCGCAGAGGAGAAAAGGTTTGCAACCTAGGGAGGCGTCACTTCTACAAGGGAACTTAGCAAGGGGCCCATTTCCCAGTGAAGTTTATTTATCTCAAGAGATTTCTTCCCTGTCCACGTATCGGTATCACCAATCGCCAAATGAAAACTCCCGCATTTAAATATTTGATTCAAATATCAAAGCAGTAAGTTTGCTATGACTGAATCTAATAGATTAAGTTTCGACGTAGAACTATTTTGAACCAGCCTCGTCCAAGACTCAGAGTTTTGGATGACTCCTTACACTTTACTGCGGAATTCTTTCCATTTGCAAGATTTAAGTATTTAACAAGTATTTGCTGGTGAAGGGATTAACAAAAGCACGCGTGAGTCACAGGGGAATCACCACTAAACTGCCGAGATGGAGGGAGGGCACAGAGGAGGAGAGGTAAAGGTCAGGGTGCACATCGCAGCAGCCATGCCCCGGCCCCCGCCCCCAGGCGCTGGGGAAGCTGTCGCCCCACCCACCAGGCCCCACAAAGGAAGACGGGGGCTCAGTGGCTTTTTTTCTTCCTTTTTTAATGAAATATTTCAAACATACACAAAGGCATAAAAAGTAATACGATCAATAACTTTTATTCCCCAGCTCCCCGTTTAAGAAATAAAACATTACAGAAACAGTTCAGTGTCACCTTAAGCCTAACCTCAATCTCCACCCCCCAACCCTTTTAGCTGCTCCTGTCCTGAACTGTGTCCCCACATCCATGGACTTCTTTTACTAACTGGGTGTATATTTAAACACTACTTAGGTATCAGTTTGTACATTTTAAAGCTTCATATGAATGATCAAAACAAAATTCAACCGAGTAAATCTGAAGATCTAACTGGTTTTGTTAAGCAATTCACCAACGGTCAGCGAGCGTCCCATCCAACAACCAGAAGGGTGCCCAAGGGGCTGTGGGAAGGAGGGTTTATAGGAAGAAGGGTGGGCAGGGGAGCTATCAATAAAAGAAAGGATTATTTTTAGGGCAGGGCGTCTTGTCTTTGGGGGAAGGAAGAGGAAAGATTTTTATTACGTAGGTCACCTCATTTTTCTGTGGGGGATGGAGAGGCCCTATGTGACACACTACCTTACTGGTTCTTGACCAAAAAATTCCAGACTGGGTGAGGCCGAAACTGCACATGGACCAGGTATTAAATCCAGGCCTCATGGGCTTTTAGCACGAGTGACGCCACTTTGGATCTGTGGTTATTTTTAACAGTTCCCCCCGCTTTGATCATATTCTCAGTTTAACTGAGAGATGTGATCAAGAATTAAGGCATTAGTGTCCTCAGCCACTGCTCTGCAGCGAATTCCAGACTGGGTGAGGCCGAAACTGCACATGGACCAGGTATTAAATCCAGGCCTCATGGGCTTTTAGCACGAGTGACGCCACTTTGGATCTGTGGTTATTTTTAACAGTTCCCCCCGCTTTGATCATATTCTCAGTTTAACTGAGAGATGTGATCAAGAATTAAGGCATTAGTGTCCTCAGCCACAGCTCTGCTGATCTCCAGTTTGGCAACACATTTTTGCTTAATCTGTGACATTTATAGGTCACAGTTACAGGTTTGGTTCCAGGTTCACAGTCCTTCAATCGGTCATTCTCTTGGTCCCCTCTTTGACATTCCAACCTTAGGGAGATCATTTTACTTGGCAGTTAGGGGCTGCAAACACGCATTCAAAGCGTTTGAAAGAATACAACACCAGCGAGATTATGATGATAATTGTAATTCCCAATGTCGGGGTGCACTTTGAAGCCATAGTCCCAAAGACCCGAGCCAATCAAAGCAAGACTCATTGATGGAGTCTCATGGCTTGCTCAATATCTCATGTAACTGAGTTTCGACTTCCCCAGAAGCCTTGATCCAGTGACGGCAGGTGGGCCGGTCACAGCACCGAGAGACACCTCCTTGCTCAGCTAAAAGTAACCGAGGGCTGTTCTGCTGTCAAGAACACTTCTGGTCAGAGGGCATAAGGATCTTTGCTGGGCAGCTGATGCCGCAGCAACAAAATGTGCAATGTCTCCAAGCTTCGAGGAGGGGTTTCCGATCCTGTTCCCGTTCGTATCATATTTTCCCTTGCTGGGAAAATGTGGCCCTGCCAAAGTCAGCAAAGCCTGAATCATGGAAAGCCTCCTGGTCGGTTGTTTCTAGAACAGTGAGGGTAGAATTAGATCATCTAAGAGGCACTGCCCAGCTGAGTGCCAGCCATCTAAGCATTCATAGGCCCAAGAGAATGCTGACTACCGCACGCGGGCACAATCGCCCATTCGAGCCAGGGGTCAGCTAGGTTTTCTCCTAGCCCGAAACAAAAACTTGCTCTAAATTCCAGAGGTTACCGCCTTAACGATGGCCCGAAGAGATGTGGATGACAGTGTTATTTTCCCAGACCAATGCCGGAGTAAAGGAAAGAAAGAAAAGCAGCAAGGGTTTCGTGTTTAGTTAAGCTGGGAGCCCTGACCCTGCGTCTGGGGTGGACGCCATCTCCATGGCTGTAGCTACTTCTCTTCCTAGACAATCTGATCTGGACGTCTCCAGCCGATGTGAAGAATCAATCAGAGGGTGCGTCTTCTTCAGCCGTGAGAGGTGACCCAAGGTTCGATGCCTTCTAGTTTTGCAACAGTGTCAGTGGTCAGGAGTATTCGGTAAGGTCCCTTTCAATGGGGCTCAGAGGTTGTGCTTCCTGATGAAGCTTTCAGAATACCCAGTCTCCAGGTTCTAGACTATGACCAACAGGATCTCTTAAACTGGGGGCTGGGAGATCTTTCTTAATTTGATAATGATAGCCTTGCGCATAAGACATTAAGGATTTATAGGAGACAAGGCATTAACAAAAAGTTATACACCAAGAGACAGTGGTCTGCCGGAGACTATCTCGTGCTCTCACGTGGAGTGAAAACACATTTTCTAACAGTTTCTTTGCCACTATGAGGGTATAGGCCTGAGGGTAGGCAGGGGAAGGCTTTAACCCACCTGGAAACATACATACTACAACAAGAACGTACTGATAACCCAAACTAAATGGTAATGGAATGAAGACCAGCTTAAATGTACTATGGTGGATGAAGTAATACACAAATTTGAAAATGGGTTTGCCAAGGAGCCTGAAAGAGTCAAGCAGCCAAGGGTTCATTTGACTTACAGTGATCGTTTACCCATCTTAGTTCCTCTGGTTTAAGAACAGATCACTGCTGTGTTACAAGAACATACCAAGGTAAAGCAATAAGGGGCCATTTTTTGCAGAAGCAGAATGATCTTCATCCACATATGCCACAATGCGATACTCAGGTTGAATCCTTTTTGTGTGTGCCTCAACTTTTGAGACAGACATCTTATGCCAGGACATTTCAGACTTCCAGGAATTGCACATATTTCTGGAACATCTGTAACATATACAAATACAACGTAAAGAAGGCTCATTGTTATTTCTTATGTGACAACGCTTCCCACCTAACTTAACATCGAACACACCTAATTAGTGCGACACCTCCCTTATGACGAGAGAGACAAATTCTCTGAGATTTTCCTGGGGCCCTCTGAGACTTCTCAAAGTCAGTCTGGGGTCATGAAAATTTTTTTTTTTTTTTTTTTTTTTTTTTTTTTTTTTTTTTTTTTTTTTTTTTAGAATTTGATTTCGGCAGGCTTGTCAGAAAAGATTTTGACGTTTACTAAAAAGATATACTTTACCAAAGTGTCAATAAAAGATTTCAAAGACAAATACAGGTTAGTTCTTACTATGAGAAGATTCCTTTTTCTTAAGTAAAAGATCTGATTAAAACAACATAAAACACAGCTGATTATTTTGCTAAAACACAGAATCTTTGCTTTCTGGGCAATTACTTGAAAAGAAAATCCTTTTACAATCTCTTATCAGGAGCAGACTGATAGTCCGAAAAACTGTCCTTTTGGCAAAAGAAAATGAAGTTTTAGCTTTACAGAAGTATACTATTGATATTAAAGCCTAATTTTTAAACGTTTATAATAGCGTTTCTATTTTAGCCAGCTTGATTAAACAAGGTGAAATGCTCTCGCTTTCCATTCTGAAACAACCAAGACAAAATTAATTTCATTTCCCTTGATGAAAATGCATCTTCATTCCACATACCTTTTCTTAGCCAGGTACACATCCTACCTTCCTTGCATAGTCAGCTCTTTTATCTCCAGTAGCTTCAATTACATATATTAGAATCTTTCACTTTTAAAAACCTTAATTTCTCGTGAAAACTCAGAAGTAAACAATGATGAGCTGCCTACTATATTAGCATTCTATGGCTTGGCAAATTTATAATTCTTAAAAATAATTTCTAGAAACATGCTTTTTTTCATAGAAAATTTCTCAGCATGGTGTAGGGGATCAGAACAAGGTACCCCAAGATGTGCTTCTGTGGTATGCAGGTTATTCTGAGCTACAGGCAACCGAGATCCTGCACTCAGGAGAAACATCCTCCGCCCCAGCCCCTTAACAACCTAGAAGAACGTGAACTAGGGGCCTCGCCTAGAAAAGGCGCACCACCAGAAATGCCTCTTGATCAGCTGTCCGTGGGGCAGGGCAAACCTCTAATCACCGAACACCTGCTCTTCTGACTGTCCTGCAATGACCCTTTGAAGCCCCCAGATACCTTTCTCCTTAGCTCGGAATGCCACATAGACTTCATTTCTGACACTTCTTTTATTCGGTTCATTCTTTCCCGGAGGATACAGCCCTTTGAAGGTCTTCGAACTACGTGGAGCTGATTTTCATCTCCCTAACTCGCTTGTGTTCCCCAAGGCACTGTCTACCTAGCCTGCGTGGCCATCCAAGCATCTAAGTCGCCAGATTGGTAAACGCCCCCAGCACACCAATAGCCTCGGGGTTCGTTTACGACTCATTTCCAGCTCCCTTCCCATTTATGATCCCTGGGAATTTCCCTGACCTCCTTCTAACCTCAAATAAATATTTAAAAGGCTATTAGTTACATTTACCTTAGCGTTTCTAGGTATTTTGTATTTGGGTTGTTTTCACTCTGTTGTTGTTGTTTATTTGCTCTGGTGTAGCAAATAAACAGAGATTCCAGTCTAGTGAATAGCATGATGTGTCTTGGGAGCAGGACTCCGGGCATTAGTTTTGCTGGACAAGCTCTAACACAGTGGTCTGCAACCTTTGTGACACCAGGGACCAGTGCCCTCTGAGAATCTGATGCCTGATGATTGAGGCGGAGCTGAGGTGGTGATGCTGGCGCTGGGGAGCGGCTGCAGACACAGATGACACTTCACCTGCTCACCTGCCACTCACCTCCTGCTGTGCAGTCCAGTTCCTAACAGGCCATGGACCTTTACAGGTCCACAGCTCAGCTCAGAGGTCGGGGACTCCTGCTCTAACAGACCTAGCGTGGC